TGTGTACAGTATCATCTGTCTCAGTTTGGGCCCAACTTCCACTACGGGTCTCATCTCCATTGTTGTCACTACTGTTTCTCATTCGTGAGACAACTTGCTGCTGCCATGGTTGAACAAGGGAAACAGGTGGCATATTTTACTGCATTATTCAAGACTGCTTCCTTCTTTTGTAATCACTACTCTTACTGTGTTGACTTTTTACCTGTATTTGATGTGCCTGCACACACTAAAAGCAGCAGCAGAGCTCCAGGCTAAGCCACTGTGTATGCATCTGCTCTGCTGAGTAACAATGCTCTGTCAATCGGTTTTCTACTCTGAACTTTTACCAAATTATTGTACACTCAAAAAAAAAAGTCCCTGCAACAATTTAGAAAGCTCACAAAACAAGCCGCAAGCACTGTTCAGTTTGCAAATCAGAATTTGAGAGCACGCAGGCACAGATTTGTAAGTGCAGAGTCACATTTGGGAGCGACAGGGAATCCCTGCTGCTCACTCAAAAACAGTGTGAAATTATTGTGATTCTTCATAGACCTTGCCTGTTGTAATATTGTCCAAGGATTACAAAAAACAAATGTTTCATACTCATATTTATATCTTTTTTCATCCACAGGTGGCAACAGATTCTTAAGTATCCCTATAAAAGGTAACAAACACTCTTCCTGTGACTTTTCAGTCCATCCCAGACACATGAAAAATATATTTCACAAAATGCCATCAACAGGAAGTCAATGACTCTCCCTTTGCACTGGCCTTCATTTGGTGACCTTATCAAAAAGAACAAAGGCCTCCAGAGTGGTTCTTGAGACAGCAAGTACCCTTACTCCACTGGGTAAGAGATGCGGCTTATTCAGAGTAGTAATGAAAATGTGCATGAGTCATTTATAGCTCTCCACCAGGTCTTGTTCTCTTGCCAGCCTCATTTGCATTTTGTGTTTATTAAGCCACTCCTGCTTTTGAGGAAATTAATTTGCTTGCCTCAACAAAAATGTGTTGTAAAGCTGCTGACATTAACTCACCAAGCACTAACACACCCTTTTCCCAAGAAACCCAACTGAGAGGAAAAAATCAATTATTAAAATGTTTAAAAAATAAACTGCATCTAAATTGAATAGATTATACAATACCTCCAGGCTGTCTCATGGGTGAAAAGAGTAGGTTGGGCTTATTTCTTTCCTTTAAATTATACTCACAAATTATCTTACAGTTGTTTTTTCTTTTATTGCATCAGACAATCCATTTTTAAAAACACTGACACAGAATTATGGTATGGAGAGGAGGGCTATGTCACCATATTCCACCACTCAGTTACATGAAGGCATAAAGAAGACAAGGTTTGTCCATGTACTTTGATCAGTATCCGTCATATACCGTGCATCTATATGAATACAGCAATCTAAAAGTGGTAACTACAATTTAAAACACTTTTTATTGCTTCATAGAGATAAAGAAAATCTTCACTTGTCTTACTGCTTCAAACATATTTAACAGAAGCACCTTTAAATATGAATACAATAATAAAAACTCACGCTTCTTTGCAGCAGCCATGTCAGAGGAATTGTCCAGTACAAAAACACTTGGACACACACTGTCACAGCCTTGTCATGTCAGCAGTCTGAACTCAGAGCAAGCCTGCAAAACAAGTTAGGATATAGGAGACAATGACAGTGAAGCATTTAGTAACAGAAAGCAGGAGACAGACAAAAAACAACGGCCAATGAATAGATCAACAGAAGCACATGGGAGTATAAGGAGAGGTAAAGCTTGTACACGTGAGAGAAATAAAATGAGAAATAACGACTTGCCGCAGTAAGCTTCCTAGAGACGTTTTCTTTCTAAATCCATAACCCCAGGTTATCCTGCATTTCAGCTGAGAATACCACTGTGCTGTACTTGTCAACCCAGGAGTGCCAGAGGCAGACACAGACTTCAATTAAGGGAAAACAACAAAACAGTCTACAAGGATTAGCTAGGGGCTGAAGCTGCACAGATGGAGACTGTTCATCACATCTCTGTGAGGTGCTTAATATTACCAAACTACAGAAAACCACAGGATATGTACACAGTGTACTGCAAAATAACAACATAATGCAGAACATAAATGAAAAGGATAATGGGAGGGTCTATTTAATCTACTGTCACAGTAAAAATAAAAAGAACAGCCTCATTTTCAGACATTAATGCAATTATACAACAATAAGCAACACATGCTCAGTCTGACAATGGAAGTAGCTGCAATACTACTAACTCAGGCAGTGGTAGTACTGCAGTGTTGCAAGTGAGAAACAAGAACATTTGCTAAATCCCCAAATGGTTACAACAAGAGTTGGGACACCAACTAATGCTGTGTAAAAAGGAACGCCTACTGGCTGGGGGGGTTCAATGGCAGGCATCTCCCTTTAATTGCTCCTATTGCACATTTTCAACCAGGAACCACTTACATCTGTGTGGCCAGTGACTTGTGACAATCACTTGTGATTTGTGTTTCCTCCTTTTATATTAGCCAAGGCTGGGAATGAAGACATGGTGAGCAAGTATTAGCACCAGGGTTGTCACTTTTCTTGCCATAAAGAGCTGAAAACTTACTATGTCACATCCACTGAAAATAGTGTGGACTCAAAGGATGAACCACTTTTAACAGTGTGAAATATCAGTGCTGTTTTGAGGGACCTAAATGGGTCGCTATGATTAGATAAGCACTGATGGGATTCAAATCTGGACGCTTACAGCTGTTAGGCAGTGGTGTGACATATAAAGTATATCTGATTGGATGGGAGGGGAAGCGGTTCTGCAAACTTACAGGAGTTTTCATTAATGTTCTAGATGACTATTGTTGCATCAACTACATAAAAAGCTCTAGTAGAGCTTTCAGATCAATAATTAAAGTTAATTACACCTTGGGGCTTACTTTCATAGTTGTGTCAATATTTGCAATTTATAAGACTGTAAACACTGAGTTATATGCTGAGACTTGTGACTGCAAATGTTAGCATCAAAATATACTTCTGCATAATGAGTACTTTATCAGTTAATTGTTAATTTTGGTTACTACATATGCTCTTGTGTAGCTTAACCTAAAACATAACAACATACTTTATTTACATTTACTTTGCATAGAAACTAGTAAAAGCTAGTAGTAGGCCTAAAATAAATTAGAAGCCCTCAAGTGAAGTACAAATAGCTAAAAATTGTATTTAAGTACAGTACTTGTATAAATGCACTTAATAAGCCATGCTGCCTTCTTCGTACCACTATATGTAAACGCTAAAAGTGACTTTGGCAACATTAACAACAGCAATTTACAGTACACAGAGCAGGAGCAGTTATCCTACTATGACAACAACATAATCTTACGTTACATGTTAGCTAGCTGTCCTCACAGTTGACTCCGTCTTTGCTAGTCAATTCCTAAAAAGTTACTGTCAAAGGTAAACTGTTTTTTTGGACTATCACGCCTACCTTATTTCATTCACGGCAGACGAAAGTCGTACATGTAACTGAACAAAGAACAAAAACCGTTAGGCACAGAGAGTCCAGCTAGTAAGAGACAACGGCACCGGCTCAAAATACAAACGAACGCAAGCAAATCCTCCAATCCCCTCTTTTTTTTCCGCCACACTTTCTCCTATTGGGCAACTTCCGCGTTTAATCACGTGGTTTGGTCGCGGAACCTCGTGTACTAGTCTGGTTTTAACCAGATGGTTAAACACCATAAAGGCGCTGCTAGTCTCCCGAAACACTTGACTCGCTACCCCCCCCAGTGTGTGTCGACTAAGAGTGAGGGTCAAAGCTGGGTGTAAAGCAACAGCTGACCTCGGTCTCCAGCTCCACACACCAGCGCTTTGTACTACTATAGTAGGATGGTGCCATCCAGTGGGGTGTGTCACTTTAAATTTATACTTTCTACTTTTGTAGCACACTTTTAAACCAGTAGTTCTCAACAAGATGTTAAACTAAACCACTCATATTGGTCACACAGTTGACAGGCAATTAACAATACCAGGGGCAACGAGACACTATTATTACTATTACTATTATTATTATTGTAGCCTCAATATTAAAAACCTGCCCCCTCCCATGCTAACATGTGCCCGGCTAGCTCAGTCGGTAGAGCATGAGACTCTTAATCTCAGGGTCGTGGGTTCGAGCCCCACGTTGGGCGCTTACGTTTTCTACTTTTGTGGTTACATGCAAACGGTTTTAGCTTCATCCCACCAAACAACTCTTCACCAAGTCAACATTTTATGTGTTTCTTGTAGGATAATAATAATCGCTTTCTTCTCGAGAGGAGGGATACCAAGTATAGCTTTCTCTTTTCTTTTTTAAAACAACCGAAAACAAAATAACTGCAAAGGACACTGGCTTAAACAGGATGGCGGGGGCGAGGGCACAGGAATGAGGAAGCCTGGTGGAACTAGCTACAGCAGTGTCAAACCATATACAGTATAGTTTGAATCTTTCCTCTTTAAGCATGTTGGCGGTAATTCTTTGAAATAACAACTGACAGTAACATGGGATATCACCTTCACACTAAGCTACACTGCAGTGAAAAGGGAAGGTTTTCGTCCCTGGGTGGGCTCGAACCAACAACTTTTCGGTTAATAGCCGAACGCGTCTAGGACCACCGCTAAGGGTAAAAATGGACAGCCTTGCATGATTGGTAGTAGAAAGATGGATTTGGCCATTTGGTTGGCCACGGAAAGATGGACTCTGTCATGTGATTGGCTTTTGAAAGATGGACTCTGTCATGTGATTGGCTTTTGAGAGATGGACCTGAATTTATACAGACTAGAGCGCCGCAGACACGTCTTACGTTTCTTATAGTGACAGGTGGTATGGAGCAGTGGTCCCCAAGCTTTTTTATCACTGCGGACCGGTCAACGCTGGACAATTTTACTGCGGCCGGGGGGGAATGCGTAGATTGTTTATATTGTAAATATAATAATAAATGTGAATTCATTGTGTACTTGTATGCAACTTTATTAGCAGCTTCCTCGTAACATTGCGCCACCAACATAACATGAGTATAACATCAAAGTCTCAGTTTTCAGTGCTGTGGTGGCGATCTCAGGGTATTCTGTCATGACTTTAATCCAGAACACCGACAGAGTTGTTGTCTCGAACATACTTTTAAGGCCGCCGTCATTTGCGATCTCCAGCAGTTGATCTTCTTCTTGCACAGACCTGCTGGATTCACCTGGTTTGTTGACAAATGGGTTGCAGATCCATTCCTTGGCAGTTCGTGGGTCCTTTGTGGTTGGGAAGTAGCGCTCGAACTCTTTTAAAAGCAAAGACAGGTGATCGTGCACCAGCTGGGAGAATGAAGGCTCAGGCTCAGTCTCACCCAAAATCCCCACTAATGTTTGAAACATGTCCAAAATGCCTCTGTTGACGCGCCGTCCCCACAAATCCAGTTTGGCTTTAAATGCAGCTACTTTATCTGCCAACTTGAAGACAGTTGTCATTTTCCCCTGAAGTGACAGATTGAGTTCATTGAGCAGGCTGAATATGTCCACAAGTAAGCCAGTTTTGGCGCTCAAGTGACCGAGATGTAACCGAGAGAATACGGTCATTTTCCAAAATAAAAGATCGTTCATACTCAGATAATAAATAAAACGGAAATAATTAATGATTTCTTGTCCGGCCAGGTAACAATTGATCCACGGACCGGTACCGGTCCGCGGCCCGGGGGTTGGGGACCACTGCATTA